ATGTTGCGGTACTTGATAGTTAAGCAAAATTGCGCCTAATTTGTTTCCGAACTTATTTTCAGCGCGTCGGATTTTTAGTGGTTACGTCACGTGTATAATGATTACGTCACATGTCTAAATATAGAACGTCAAACTGTGCATCTGTTGCATAATAACACACACTTTCTGTTCTTCTATGTTCAATAGGGAAAAATGCTGGTCGTGTTAGAATGTCAGTTTAATACCGTTTCTTTTCCTTCTTTGTCTATAGTGACAAAAACACGTGAGTGTTAGAATCTACCGTAAAGTCAATATAACTTTGACATTAGAACAACTGTGCCTCATAAATTCGATTCCGCTAAATTATTAATACTATGTAATGACCTTAATTGGCAACTGTATGTGCTTCTTTAATATTATTTCAGAGAAACTATTTTTTGTCTTCAGGTAACCGCGACCTTGACTTTTGATCTATTGTGTCCAAATATTTCGGCAACTATCTACTCACGGCAGGCTGTCATATTTGAAGTTTAATCAATGAAGACTGTACGCCCGAGGATATCGCCAAAGGAACGGAAACTTATGTATCTTCATTTACAGACATACAGATCATATGAAGCTGACTAGCTAGCTTACAGAAAGTCAGCTGGTTCTAATACGGTGTTCGCTTGTGTCAGAATGGGAGCAACTGAGATCTCTCTTCACTTAAGCAAAGATGTCGCCATTTAGACATTTATAGCATCGGTGTGACTAAATAAACAATACTAAACTAAATCTAAACATATAGGGAGGCAAGAGGTGGCCTAATGGTTAGGTTGTCCAGTTCTCAACAAGAGAATGTGGGTTTAAGTCCTGCTGCTGAAGTTCCTGATTGCACCATTGCTGGATGGTTCTAGAAAGTAGACACTACAACGTAGTGTAAGCCGTCCAGTTAGTTCAATAGGTACAGCGTTGGACTGTGAATCGGATGACGCGGGTTCGATTCACGGACAGCGCAGGTCACTTTCGCTGTGATAATGAAATCCTTTCTACGGTCAGTCGCGCTGTACCCCTGCTCTTGCATGTACACAAGTAATCAGTTCGGCAGCTACATGTAGTAATTGTCAAGTGCTCGACAGCCTGCCCGGGAAAGATGCGCTGGCTGAATTGTGCCCTGGTAAATTAAATGTGGCTTACTGACGTGATCCGGAGTGAAAACTATCATTACCATCATCACCACATTACAACCTATCAAGTAAGCCCCAAGTTTTCCCCGTAATCAAATTGAAATAAATGTTGAAACTGGACATACAGGGTATACTAATGTGAGCAAAATAGTACACCCTCTCATACTGAAATTGTAGAATTACTTAAACTCGAAGTATGATCCTGGTATTTTGTTTTCTATCAAGTGGTCTTGATCAATCTTGGTTGTCCACCACATATGAGCAAAATATAAGGGCAGAGCAAGGTAAGCAATATCATATGTTTGTTTGTTTGTTTCATTTTACGCCTTTTGCAACAGTATTTCAGTCATATATGCGGGTAGTTTCCTAACCATCGTTCCTGGAGAGTTACACCAGTACTAGACTACCTTCCTCCGTGCTAAACTACCAAAGCATCTCCCGGGGATCGAACCCACACCAGAGAGGTAACTGGATTAGAAGTCATCGACTCTAACCCCTCGACCACGGAGGCGGTAAGCAATATGTAAACACAGTCATATTATTCATATGATTCCATTTCTGTGTCAAAAAAGAACAACATGAAAAGTAGTAGCACACTGCTTTAATAAGATTTATTTGCAAAAACATCTTAAGTCACTGAATTTTGTTTTAAATATATACAAATTTAATCAAAAATATACAAAAATATATCAATAAAATATACTGATAAAATACAATTCTGAACACAATTGTTATCATATTGAACACAATAAGTTATATAGAACACAATACCGTATTAGTCTGTATAGAATTGTTCAATGTTTTATAACACAATTTAGTTACAACTAACAACAATAAACCAAACATTCAGCACCAGTCAAAATGTTTCCTATGTAAACATATTAAAAGCATGATATATTTTCTCTACATAATAGAAATTAACAATACATTGTAGTTTATCTGCACAATGATCTTGACATTAATTTACATATAGTATATTAATATGTACAATTCTGTGAACTCAAGAACAAAATGTTTTTTGGGTTTTTTTTAAATGCTAGGTCAAAACAAGAAAGACAAGAGCTGTCCGTAAGACAGCGCGCTCGACTTTTTTATTGCTTGCCAATAAAAAAAGTTTTTGCAGTAAAAGGCAATACAAGAATCTCTGTATTTTTAAAGTGAACTAGTTGTTTGATACCCTTGAATATTACAGCAATGTTTATATGACATAATTTATGGTAAAGTGAACAAGTGGATAGGAATTAATTTTTTCAGATTTTTTAAGTTTTTTAGTGCTTGCCTATAATACAAAACATTGACAGTTAAGGGCCATAATTCAAATAAAATCTTTGACAGAATTACCTTCTCCTGGACATGTTTGGGAATCATGATTGTAAACAAGTATTCCAACTTTCAAATTAATATCTCAAACAGTTCAGTCAAAAAGTGGACTGGTACTAAAAACTTAACCAAGATTCTAAGTCGATAAAAGGCCTTAATTTTTAAAAACAAATCCTTGACAGAGTTACCTTCTCTTGCGTACAGATGGGGTAATGATGTGAAATAGCATTAAAAGTTTCAAAGCAATATCTCAAAGGGTTAAGGCAATAAGTGGATTTTACCCATATTCAATGTATTTTCTAAGTCAAAAAGGGGCATAATTCTGTCAAAAACCTTGACAGAGTTATGTCCTCTTGTCTGTTGATGAAGGGTCGTGATGGTAAACAAGTATGGTCAGTTTCAAAGCAATACCTCCAATGGTTTTGAAATAAAGTGAGGTGGTACAAAAAACTTAACCAAGCTCAATACACTTTCTAAGTCAAAAAAGGGCCATAATTCTGTCAAAAACCTTGACAGAGTTATGTACTCTTGTCTGTAGATGGAGGTTATGATGGTGAACAAGTATGGTAAGTTTCAAAGCCATACTTGTAATACTTCTGAAATAAAGTGGGGTGGTACGAAAAACTTAACCAAGGTGTGACGCCAACGCCGACGCCGACGCCGACGCCGGGGCGAGTAGGATAGCTCCCCTTTTCATAGAAAAGTCGAGCTAAAAAGGAAAACATATCATTTAATATTTAAAAAAAAAAGGTGAATAAATGCTTGTAGCACTTTTTTAATATTCTAGTACCAAATTAATGTTGATTTTGTTTTGTAAACAATAAATAGATTCTATGAGTTGTACAATATAGGGGAAATAACCATTTAATTTAAAATCATATCTTAAATGTAGGAGTTATCTGTACATGTTATTTGATGTCTGACAAAAATGATAACAATTATTTTTACATAAATAAAAAAAATAACAACAACAATATCTATCATAATCATGATACATTACAAATTAATAACAATTATTAAAAATGTTCATTCAGTATGTACCAGGTTTAACTGAGCAAACTTTTCAGATAAATACAAAACTGGCAAAATATATTACAAATAAATTTCATAAACTGTACTATCTGATATTGTTACACAGTTTCTGTAACCTAATGGTTATTTCTCAGAGAAAGAGAAAGAATATTGCTGGTTTTTTATAACACAAAAAAAATATATGTAAATAGAATAAAACAATTCTTAAAATATTCCATTGCTACATTTGATATGCTTATAGATTGACCGATACATAAATCATTTTCAATCTACATTTTATTGATTCAGTTACTAAAATTGATATGGATTTTATCACAGTACAAAAATATATATATTCAGCAAATTTTAGTCAGTGTAATTTAATTCAATACCCTTCATATAAATTATTTTTCAAAAACTACAGCTGCAATACAGACATCTTAACAAATTTCAGTGCTCGATAGCAGGACACTAGGCTCATGAAGTTCACATAAGTTAAAGGTGCATGCCTCCTGAGACAAGCCAAAATAAATCAAGAAAATCAGATTTGAAAAAAATGAACTTACTTTTTAGAAAAAACAAAAAGATTCAAAATTTAGGCAATAATTTGCATTTTTACTGTGATAAATGATTGATTTTGAAGTACAATTGTATTTATCACCATATTTCTACAGCATGACTAATACAGTAATATTTGAAAGACCCTGATGAAAATTAGCATGAAAATCTGGAGGCATGCCACTTTAAAGGTCTTGGTCAGTGACCTACACTCATGAATATTAAAGCATTTGTTAAGATTAAGATGAATTTTTACAGTTATCACAGGGTCTTGACCTTTAACCTACAATTATACATCAAAATGCATGTCAATGTGCAAATTTTTAAGTGAATAACTTCAATGCAAACCTTTACCTGGAATCTTCTATGTTAAAATGGTGTCTAATACAGTAAATGTCATGGACACTGGATATTAAGAAATGATCATGATCACTAAGGATTTCATAATTATACAATAAATCTGAATACCTTTAGTGAATGTGGAGACAGACTTTTCAAGAAGACAGCCATTTAACTTTCACAAACACCCATGCCAATTATATGACAGCCCCATAATCCAGCAAATAGTTGCACTATGTTATAAAATATACAGTTATTTCATTGGTGTTTGTGGAACAGTCAAAACTGTTGCCCCGAGGTATCAGGGATGACATTTGGAACTGTTGCCAGAGACCGAAGGCAACAGTTCCAAATGTCATCCTTGATACCGAGGGACAACAGTTTATTTTTTTGACAAACACCTATGAAATAACTGTTTTTATTACCTAATACTTTGTAATCAAACTACAATATATATTGCAACAACATACAAATAACATTTTTACAACTGTTTTGATTGTTTACAACTGTGAATCGTGCAGACAACCAATACCGTACATTGAGCTGAGCGACGTTCGATAACTGCATAGTGGTGGGCGGCATCAACTGCAATACCAGATGACGTTGACAGGGGTGTAACAGTTAAAAATGTTGACTGGTCAACAGTTTATTTTATCATTGCGCATGCACTGGATTTCAGTGGTTCAATTAAACAGTTGTAAATCAGGAATTAGTATTTATAGAAGGCATTAGGTAATAGTATATCATATACTATCAGTATAATAATGTTTTTCAATGATGATTCAAGCCATACTGAACTTAATAATGTAATTTGCACATTTTTTTTTTACCTTGGTGAAGTTGCCAAGAATGCATAAAAATACGAAAATTGTTGTCTTTGTTAGATTATACTTGACTTTGACATTTCATACATTTCTAATGTATTGTTTGAGATCATTATCTAATTTCCTTATTTTCATTGTTTTTTAATGAGATTTAACAAATATGTCAATCACAGTTAATTCAGACCATAATTTAAAACATAGATGTAATATACTTGTGTAAAATAATATTACTATGTCCTAAATATTAGTTTAATTCCATATGTCATGAAACACATACATCTACTAGGTGTTGTCTCCCTTTGTAGACTGGATTTCTAACTCCATATTAACAAGTGTTTTAAATAGTCTTGATCCACTATGAAAACACTGTATAGGCTGACTTACAATTTGAAAACCACATTTCTGAAAAAAAGGAACAGCATCAATAGCACTTTGTAGTCTCACTGGGCGCATTGAACACACTTCAGCTATCATTTTAAGAGCCTGATTTAACATCAGTCTACCAAAGCCCATGCTTTGAAAGTCTTTGAGTACAAACATGAATGATATTTGTGGATAATACTCTGAGTCAAAGGTCACACCTGGATCTGTCAGAGACATGTCTGGTAAGGAAAAGGACATTTGGCCAACATGTGTCTGTTTCTCATAGGCAAATAGAATGAGATTTTCCTCTGGCACATCAAAGACCTCTCGAGACACCTGTCTGGCTAGATGTCGAAATTTTCCTCTTACTTTATTATTTCTTTCCTCTAGAGTTATCTGTATATTATCTGAAATATGAAAATATACAAGCATTACTAAAGCATTATTATTAGTTGTATCATGTCAATTTATACATTAATTTCTGCTAATAAATCATATGCTTTATCAGTCACCCTCAGCTTTGTCAGGCACCTCATCAAAACATTTTGAAATAGAATGAACAGAATGAAATATTTTTACCTCTTACTAGTTTGAAAATATTAAACTAATAAACTTTGAATCACACATTTAAACATTAAAATCTGTCTTACATTAAGCTAAAAGCAATTGGGACTATTTCTTATTAAAATGACCCTTAGCATATTACTGCTCTCTACATGAACTCGAGAGGTTCTTGACATGCTTTTGTTTCATTTGAAGTTTAAAGAAAGAAATCTATATTAAATTGAAAACATGATAAATAGAATACCAAACAAGTGTCTGATACATAGAACTTATTAGGCTTTGCACGAAAAAAGGGAATCCGCCCTATTTTTTTTGTAAGTCTTGCCTGTTAAATCTTGTAATGTCAGACACTAGCATGGTATTCACTATTAAAGAATATTTTTAAAAATTCATCCTCACTATTACTGCATGAATGACAAAGCTATGTGTAAAAGAAAACAGTCTATTCACAATAATACTAGTGTGACCTTGACCCTGTGAACTAGAGACCAGTCCTCTATGCAAGACACATTATCATCATGTCTTTCACATTTATCCCAAACTATTTTTAAATCCATTTAGGAATGACACAATTGCTTACCAGACACAACCATCATTGCACTTTTATGAAAATATGGAATACAAGCATGACCTTGACCTTTAATGTAGGGACCTGATTTGTGTGCGCAACACATTGTCATTAAGTCCTACACATTTGTGCACAATAGTTTTTAAATCCATCCAGGAATGACAGAATTGCATGGTGACCAACATGAACATCAGTGAACTTTATAAAAATTCATATCATGGCCTTTAATCTACAAGTGTGACCTTTGGGTTAGTGACCTGATTATTGTGGGTGACACATGTTAGTAGTGTCTAACACCTTTATAATCATGCATGTGTATTAGTTTTTACATACATTCAGAAATGACAGAATTTTTTACTGGACATATCTAAACATAAGTGCACTTTACATATCAAAATTAATACCATGACTTTTGATCTACAAGTTTGACCTTCACCTTAAAACTAGGGACCCAATTCTTGTGGGTGACAAATTTTTATTAAGCCCAACACCTTCATGAATATTAGTTTTTACATCCATTCAGAAATGACAGAATTGTTGAAGACACATAGACATAACTGCACCTTTATCAAAATTCATATCATAACTTTTGTTCTACAAATGTGACCTTGACCTTTGAGCTAGGGACCCAATTCTTGGATGTATCATGATATCATTATATCTTACACAATTATGCACAATATTTGTTTTTTAATCATCCAGGAATATAGAATTGTTGACCAACATGAACATCAGTGTACTTGTATAAAAATTCTTATCATGATTTTTATCTACAAGTGTGACCTTGACCTTTGAGCTCTGGACTGATTCTTGCACATGACACATTGTCCTAATGTGCTACACATTTATACAAAATTATTTTATAATTATCCATTAATGACAAAGTTGGTTAAATCTTGTTTGAATTTGTAAATATCCATTTCAAAATGGCTTATATGTGGAAGTCAAAGGCCGGAACCACAAAGCGGGCCCAGGCTTTAGCTTGCCTGGCTACAGGCTTTGGCTTGCCTGGCTATAACTACATGTGTATATTTAAAAGGAAATCAAATAAAAAACAATTAAAGAATATATAGAATTCTATATCTATCAATGAAATTTATGTGTATATTTAAAAGGAAATCAAATAAAAAACAATTAAAGAATATATAGAATTCTATATCTATCAATGAAATTTTCAGTGTCAGTTATAGTTTTTCAATGTAACTCAATGATAATATCCAGGGTATTCTGATGACTGAACATGAATATGATTGAACACAGAATGGGTGCTTGAAATACCAAATGACACCTTTAAAACAGAAAAATGAACGATATTTTAACCAACTTTTCCTCTCATAGACCTTGTCTAATTTCACATACCTTTTTTTTATTTAATATTATAAGTATGTCACGGTTCAGAACTGTTCACTATTTATGGTAGCCCAACAAATTGTGCGCTTTAGAGCTTTTTTATATAGACGATGGTCGCCCTTCGCAGACATCTATGAAATATCAGATTATAAAATCGGTCTGTCTTGTCGTCGAAATATTGAGACTATATTTAGGGGAGAAAATGTGTACGCTGCCGGATAGCTCTGTCAGTAGAGCCATGGTAAGTTATCCCGAGTTTCCCGGGTTCGAGTCCCGTTCAGGCTGCACATTTTCTCCCCTATGACATTTGGCACCCAATTAACTTGGGGCTGGGCTGAATATGGCTCAGAGTTTTATTCACAATGCTCAGTGTAACTCTGCGAAATTCGAAGACGAATTTCAATATAGCAGGGAGTATGTGACGGTTCAGAACTGTTCACAGACACTTGGGTTTTTTTATATTATTATAGTTGTTGAAATATGATTTTTTTTCAAAACGGCATATATTAAGATTTTTTGATATATATGATCAGTACATGTCCTGGGATTGACAAATATGCATTTTATTTGGATTTTAAAGGCGTTTTGAGCTCCAAACCCAAGTGTCTGTGGAACTGTTCACTATTAAGGATTTTATTTGGAATTTAAATCCGTCTTTAGCTCCACATTCCAAGTGCCTGTGGAAAGTCCACCCGTGACCCGAAATAAATCAAACAGTCACAATCGTGGTAAATGCTACTAACCACGATTTTGGGAATTATTCCTTAACTGTCGCTTATGACAACAATTTGAAAAAATTAATATTGTGGTGAGTATTTTCATTAAATTAACCTTGGAAATACAGGATCCTGTGCTTGGACATGACTGCATTGATTTAATAAAAATACGGACAGTGGCCATATGTCGCGAAAACTAATTACATCAAAACATTAGCATTTCCGGTATACAGGTAGACTGGTCCCCTGCGCACTTCAAAAAATCTTGGATGAGAACCATAACAGGTTAGGGAACCAGATTAGTATACAGGGTATACACCACTAAATTATGGGGGACTTTGGCAAACTCCAAACGGCTGTGACTAAAATAAAGTTTCCTTTTAAAAGGAAAGGCTTGCACAGTTGTGCCTTCATCCCAACATATTTAGTTGTTTTTATTTTTGTAAAAACGAATATTTTTGTCAAAACGATTTGAAATCTATTCTCTATTGTATAAAACTAATAAAGAAAATAATCAATCGTAAAAATACTAACGTGGAGATCTATCTATCATACTGAAAGGAAACAAGTGTGCACATTTCATTTCCACTTTTTTCGCAGAGAAATCATTCGTTTTGGCAGTATATAGCAGCTTTATAGACAAGTAAATGCGCTAAAATACTTCGTTACGTGGTACCAATTAATAAGCATGTTCACAGATACGATGCGCTATCTATAGATCATCACGTGGTAAGGTTAATGATATGCATGGGCTATTTTTAGATTACCTCACCAAGTTCAGTAGATCTAAATATAAAAGAAACTAACTTTTGCGTCTTGAAAAAGAATTGAAACGGAACAATTTCGTTTATAATTTATTACGGTTTAAATCAATAAATCAAGTAAAAATACGAATCCTATTTATATAAACAAACTGGGATTACCGAAGTAACTAAAATAGCTTAGATTTCCGTAATATTACTTCTTCTGATTCCGCAGTATGACGGAATCGCCCGAATTGTCACGATTGCAATCGGAACTACATCGGCTATTATCATTAATCCGAAGAGTGACGGAAAAGGCCGAAAAGTTGCGATTGGCACGATTGCAGCTGGTTTCCCGTTCAATCATGCACTTACAAATGTAAGCAGAAAACCACCTAACCGGAACAAGTTTTCCAAATGAAATGGCTTGCAGCCGTGGCTGCAAGCCAAAAAGGATTGGAGCACCACACTAAATACCGTATTCCGGTATATACCGGACAAGGCGCTTGAATGATAAAATGCTAAAATCTTGTCTTTTTACCCAACGGAATGAACTTTAACAGGTCTAATTCATCTTTTGACACCGAATCAAGTACGATAATCAAGGAAAAATGTAAAATTCGGCGAAAAAAACGATATTTGTCTATTTTGTGATCATGATTTCTGCAAGCGTCTAGAGGTACTGCTCCAATCCTGTATTGAGCTAAATCCACTCCAAACTCCTTACAGTGATTACCTCCCTTTGCAGATTTGTAAAGGGTTCAAGATGACGAAAAATAAACTGTTTAGAAATTTAAATGCAGTATATTTTTGTTAAATTAGCATGTCCCTACCCGTATTGCAAACAGGACGTTTCGGCCCAAACCAAATCGGCCCCTGTGCAAAAATCGACCCCTAGACGTTTCGGCCATTTTCCGCGAGACGTTTCGGCCCTTTTTTAATTACATTTAAAAAGGAATTTTTATACTTAAAATCGTTAAAGATGTATTATATTGATTGATTGATGGCACACAAACAATATTTATTTTATATTTAGGTATGTGTTTTTTTTTTCAAGGTGTAACAAATTAATCATAAAAAAATTATGGCTTTACTCGTAATTACTACTTATTTAATAGTTGTTGATTATAAATCTTTGTTTCATATGTATTGTTCTTTGATTTGCTTTTTAAATGTTCAAGTTTTTTTTTTTAAAAAATGCGTGTTGATAATAAGCAGATGAAAATCTTTTTCTGTGTTTGTGTATACTATGTTTTGTTTAATAAAGTTTATGTTCTGTTCTATTTGTTTTGATCACTACTATTTTAAAAGCCTCATTCAATTACAAAATCATCATCATCATCATCATCATCTTCAGTAATCGCCTCACTCTTCATAGAGCATAATCGCGATGAAACTAAAACTATGTACATGCGCAGCAATTGGTTTCCTCTTTACAGTTAAAAATTGACTATTTACATCTTTTAAAATCTGGTAAAAACTGGCAATGTGTCTAGTTGGTGGTTGTGTGTTTTGTCAGCGCCGACTTGAACCCCTCCAAGGTTGGTTTCTCAACAACTTGTATGGGTAGGCGATTCCAGAGGATGATGGTGGCCGGAAAGAAGCTGTTTTGGTACACAGATTTCTTACAAGTGAGCTGGCTGAGTTGTTGTTGGTTGCCTCTTGATGTTCTTGCATTACGTAGCGGGGGATCTGGTGTGACATCTACAAGGTCATGTTTGATCTTGTAGAGCATGGTGACTCTTGCCATGTCCCTTCTCTTCTGTAGAGTGGTCCAGTGTAGTGAGTTTACCATCTCTGTGACACTGCTCTGGCGTGAGTAGACGTTCTTGACAAACCGTGCTGCTCTTCTTTGTACCATCTCTAGTTGGTTGATGTGGCTGTCAGCAGCAGGTGACGATACAGAGGAGGCATACTCAACGCTTGGCCGTACGTAGGTGTTGTAGGCTTTGGCTTTGGCATCTGGTGGGCTTGACCGGATATTTCGGCGCAGGAAAGCTAGGGTTGAGTTGGCTTTTTTCGTTATGTTGTCGATGTGGCATTTCCAAGATAGGTCTGGTGTGATGGTGACTCCAAGATACTTGGCCTGGTTGGTTACGTTGAGGGTTGTCTGATGTATCTGATATGGAAAGATAATGGGGTTCCTCTTGGTGGTAATTCGGATGACCTCACATTTGGCAGCATTGAACTCCATTTGCCATTCCTTCTCCCAGACTTGGAGATTGTCAAGGTCGTCTTGTAGGGCACGGGCATCATCCTGGCTCTTGATCGTCCTATCGAGGAGACAGTCATCAGCAAACATGCCAGTCCTCGACTTTACCCTAGAGGTAAATATAAATTTATCATTTCTATAAATGAAATTTATGTGTATATTTAAAAGGAAATCAAATAAAAAACAATTAAAGAATATATAGAATTCTATATCTATCAATGAAATTTTCAGTGTCAGTTATAGTTTTTCAATGTAAATCAATGATAATATCCAGGGTATTCACTGATGATTGAACATGAATATGATTGAACACAGAAGGGGTGCTTGAAATACCAAATGACACCTTTAAAACAGAAAAATGAACGATATTTTAACCGACTTTTCCTCTCATAGACCTTGTCTAATTTCACATACCTTTTTTTATTTAATATTATAAGTATGTCACGGTTCAGAACTGTTCACTATTTACGGTAGCCCAACAAATTGTGCGCTTTAGGGCTTTTTTATATAGACGATGGTCGCCCTTCGCAGACATCTATGAAATATCAGATTATAAAATCGGTCTGTCTTGTCGTCGAAATATTGAGACTATATTTAGGGGAGAAATTGTGTACGCTGCCGGATAGCTCTGTCAGTAGAGCCATGGTAAATTATTCCGAGTTTCCCGGGTTCGAGTCCCGATCAGGCTGCACATTTTCTCCCCTATGACATTTGGCGCCCATTTAACTTGGGGCTGGGCTGAATATGGCTCAGAGTTTTATTCACAATGCTCAGTGTAACTCTGCGAAATTCGAAGACGAATTTCAATATATGTGACGGTTTAGAACTGTTCACAGACACTTGGGTTTTTTTATATTATTATAGTTGTTGAAATATGATTTTTTTTCAAAACGGCATATATTAAGATTTTTTGATATATATGATCAGTACATGTCCTGGGATTGACAAATATGCATTTTATTTGGATTTTAAAGGCGTTTTGAGCTCCAAACCCCAAGTGTCTGTGGAACTGTTCACTTTTAAGGATTTTATTTGGAATTTAAATCCGTTTTTAGCTCCACATTTCAAGTGCCTGTGGAAAGTCCACCCGTGACCCGAAAAGCCGAAATAAATCAAACAGTCACAATCGTGGTAAATGCAAAATGTACTAAAGTTCCACGATTTTGGGAATTATTCCTTAACTGTCGCTTATGACAACAATTTAAAATAATTTATATTGTGGTGAGTATTTTCATTAAATTAACCTTGGAAATACAGGATCCTGTGCTTGGACATGACTGCATTGATTTAATAAAAATACGGGCAGTGGCCATATGTCGCGAAAACTAATTACATCAAAAAATTAGCATTTCCGGTATACAGGTAGACTGGTCCCCTGCGCACTTCAAAAAATCTTGGATGAGAACCATAACAGGTTAGGGAACCAGATTAGTATACAGGGTATACACCACTAAATTATGGGGGACTTTGGCAAACTCCAAACGGCTGTGACTAAAATAAAGTTTCCTTTTAAAAGGAAAGGCTTGCACAGTTGTGCCTTCATCCCAACATATTTAGTTGTTTTTATTTTTGTAAAAACGAATATTTTTGTCAAAACGATTTGAAATCTATTCTCTATTGTATAAAACTAATAAAGAAAATAATCGATCGTAAAAATACTAGTTAACGTGGAGATCTATCTATCATACTGAAAGGAAACAAGTGTGCACATTTCATTTCCACTTTTTTCGCAGAGAAATCATTCGTTTTGGCAGTATATAGCAGCTTTACAGACAAGTAAATGCGCTAAAATACTTCGTTACGTGGTACCAATTAATAAGCATGTTCACAGATACGATGCGCTATCTATAGATCATCACGTGGTAAGGTTAATGATATGCATGGGCTATTTTTAGATTACCTCACCAAGTTCAGTAGATCTAAATATAAAAGAAACTAACTTTTGCGTCTTGAAAAAGAATTGAAACGGAACAATTTCGTTTATAATTTATTACGGTTTAAATCAATAAATCAAGTAAAAATACGAATCCTATTTATATAAACAAACTGGGATTACCGAAGTAACTAAAATAGCTTAGATTTCCGTAATATTACTTCGTCTGATTCCGCAGTATGACGGAATCGCCCGAATTGTCACGATTGCAATCGGAACTACATCGGCTATTATCATTAATCCGAAGAGTGACGGAAAAGGCCGAAAAGTTGCGATTGGCACGATTGCAGCTGGTTTCCCGTTCAATCATGCACTTACAAATGTAAGCAGAAAACCACCTAACCGGAACAAGTTTTCCAAATGAAATGGCTTGCAGCCGTGGCTGCAAGCCAAAAAGGATTGGAGCACCACACTATATACCGTATTCCGGTATATACCGGACAAGGCGCTTGAATGATAATATGCTAAAATCTTGTCTTTTTACCCAACGGAATGAACTTTAACAGGTCTAATTCATCTTATCACACCGAATTAAGTACGATAATAAAGGAAAAATGTAAAAATCGGCGAAAAAAACGATATTTGTCTATTTTGTGATCATGATTTCTGCAAGCGTCTAGAGGTACTGCTCCAATCCTGTATTGAGCTAAATCCACTCCAAACTCCTCACAGTGATTACCTCCCTTTGCAGATTTGTAAAGGGTTCAAGATGACGAAAAATAATCTGTTTAGAAATTTAAATGCAGTATATTTTTGTTAAATTAGCATGTCCCTACCCGTATTGCAAACAGGACGTTTCGGCCCCAAACCAAATCGGCCCCTGTGCAAATATCGACCCCTAGACGTTTCGGCCATTTTCCGCGAGACGTTTCGGCCCTTTTTTAATTACATTTAAAAAGGAATTTTTATACTTAAAATCGTTAAAAATGTATTATATTGATTGATTGATGGCACACAAACAATATTTATTTTATATTTAGGTATGTGTTTTTTTTTCAAGGTGTAACAAATTAATCATAAAAAATTTATGGCTTTACTCGTAATTACTACTTATTTAATAGTTGTTGATTATAAATCTTTGTTTCATATGTATTGTTCTTTGATTTGCTTTTAAAATGTTCAAGTTTTTTTTTTTTTTTTTTTTTTGCTTGTTGATAATAAGCAGATGAAAATCTTTTTCTGTGTTTGTGGTGTTTGTGTATACTATGTTTTGTTTAATAAAGTTTATGTTCTGTTCTATTTGTTTTGATCACTACTATTTCAAAAGCCTCATTCAATTACAAAATCATCATCATCATCTTCAGTAATCGCCTCACTCTTCATAGAGCATAATCGCGATGAAACTAAAACTATGTACATGCGCAGCAATTGGTTTCCTCTTTACAGTTAAAAATTGACTATTTACATCTTTTAAAATCTGGTAAAAACTGGCAATGTGTCTAGTTGGTGGTTGTGTGTTTTGTCAGCGCCGACTTGAACCCCTCCAAGGTTGGTTTCTCAACAACTTGTATGGGTAGGCGATTCCAGAGGATGATGGTGGCCGGAAAGAAGCTGTTTTGGTACACAGATTTCTTACAAGTGAGCTGGCTGAGTTGTTGTTGGTTGCCTCTTGATGTTCTTGCATTACGTAGCGGGGGATCTGGTGTGACATCTACAAGGTCATGCTTGATCTTGTAGAGCATGGTGACTCTTGCCATGTCCCTTCTCTTCTGTAGAGTGGTCCAGTGTAGTGAGTTTACCATCTCTGTGACACTGCTCTGGCGTGAGTAGACGTTCTTGACAAACCGTGCTGCTCTTCTTTGTACCATCTCTAGTTGGTTGATGTGGCTGTCAGCAGCAGGTGACCATACAGAGGAGGCATACTCAACGCTTGGCCGTACGTAGGTGTTGTAGGCTTTGGCTTTGGCATCTGGTGGGCTTGACCGGATATTCCGGCGCAGGAAAGCTAGGGTTGAGTTGGCTTTTTTCGTTATGTTGTCGATGTGGCATTTCCAAGATAGGTCTGGTGTGATGGTGACTCCAAGATACTTGGCCTGGTTGGTTACGTTGAGGGTTGTCTGATGTATCTGATATGGAAAGATAATGGGTTTCCTCTTGGTGGTAATTCGGATGACCTCCCATTTGGCAGCATTGAACTCCATTTGCCATTCCTTCTCCCAGACTTGGAGACTGTCAAGGTCGTCTTGTAGGGCACGGGCATCATCCTGGCTCTTGATCGTCCTATCGAGGAGACAGTCATCAGCAAACATGCCAGTCCTCGACTTTACCCTAGAGGGTAGGTCGTTGATGAAAGCGAGGAAGAGCAGAGGACCTAAGACGCTGCCCTGGGGCACTCCGGAGGTGACAGGGGATGTGTGGGAGTGTGAGCCTTCCAGGACCACACGCTGCGTTCTGCCAAAGAGGAATCCTTGGACCCATTTTATTGTGTTGCCTCTGACCCCATAATTGTCTAGTTTCATCAGCAGTCGTGTGTGTGAGACCTTATCGAATGCTTTGCTGAAATCGAGCAGGATAGCATCTTTTTGTTCATTTTTGTCAAGTCTTTTGACAAGGTTGTTCACAGTGGTGAGTAGCTGTGATTCACAGGAGCGACGGCGTCGGAAGCCATGCTGGGAGTCAGACAGTATGTTGTTGTTGTCGAAAAGAGCCATGATGTTGCTAAAAATGATATGTTCCAGGATCTTACAAGAGATTGATGTGAGAGAGATAGGTCTGTAGTTGGATGGTGTAGATCTGTTTCCTTTCTTGGAGATTGGGGAGACATCAGCTGTTTTCCAGTCAGCTGGGAGTGTACCACTATCTAGAGAAAGCTGGTAGATTCTGGTCATGCCTGGGGCCAGTTCCTTGGCACAGAGTTTGAGGAGCCTGGTGGGAACTTTATCTGGGCCTGCAGCTTTGTGTGGTTTAAGTCCAAGGAGAAGCTTGAGGACACCCTTCTCTGTCACAGTAATGTGGCTCATAAATTTAATTATTCAATTCATTCTCTCATGCCTTCATTTCATTCATTTTTTGAAATGCTGTTAAAATTCTGGCATAAAACACGTAAAGGTAAGACTTATTCTTAACTAAATATGGGGCCGATTTGGTAAAGGTCTGAAACGTCTTGGGTAATTTGAGGCCGATACGTCTTGGGGCCGAAATGATTCGAAATCCCCGCATTCCATAATTAAACAGTTAAACTTGCTGTTTTGCCATGTTTTTTTTTTTAAAAGCCCCAGAAATAGAGAATAATGAATGAGTGTAAGTTCAATACTGAATTTACAATGTTTAACAAAAAATGTAACAGAACCAAATATGGTACATATGACTGGGACTTAAATGTAACTTTCTGTCTCGGGTAATGAGTACCTTAATTTTTAGTTAGTTTTTCTTTTCACTATATGAGTTGAAACCCAGAGAAATAGATATCTAAATGCATTTATCACACACCCGTGTCGATTTTGCGACTCCTTAAATATGGTATTGCACGGTCGTGCATGTATTTTGACGTAATGTCATTAGCGTTATACAAACATAGTGTAAAGACGCACTAAATGTTAGCGTTATACTTTAGGCGCGTCAATGAATAATGACTCTTATTTCAGTTTAAACGGTCTGTATTTTGGGTATGTGATAAAGAGAATATTAAATTCGTGTAAGTTCATTACTGAATTTATTGCACGAGTTGAATAAAATTATATTATGCGAGCCTCTGGCTCAGTATTGAACTTAAACTAATTCAATATATCCTAGCTCTATTTATCACACACTCGTGCTGATTTTACGACTCCGTAAATATGGTATTGCACGACCGTGCATATATTTTGACGTGACGTCATTAGCGTTATACAAAAATAGTGTAAAGATGCGCTAAATGTTAACGTTATACTATAGGAGTGACAATGAAAAATGACTCTTATTTCACTTTAAATGGTCTTTATTTTGGGTATGTGATAAATAGAATATTAAATTCGTGTAATTTCATTATTGAACTTATTGCACTCGTTGAATGATATAATATTATGCTCGCCAGAGGCTCGCATAACATAATTTTATGCAACTCGTGCAATAAATTCAGTATTGAACTTACACTCATTCAATATCCTCTATTTATATGTGCCAGCTGTTGTCTCAATTAAAATAATATTATTTTGTATATTATTATACAGTTTTAGATCTACATGTGTATACATTTTACAAACTTTTCTCGCTTTTTTACCAGTATCATAGATTTATAAAATGATATCTTATAACTATTCAAAATATATATGCTGTGATATGGGCATAATTATGTTGTTCCGGTAATTTTTATATGTTTGGTCCACACGCCACAAGTGTCGTTTTATAAACAGGTGAGATTTCACTGCGCATTTCTTGATTGGACTGTGGTATTGGCACACAAAATATAAAAAAAAATAAGAGAAGAAACGATATCTGTACATGTACTATATATGCTAGTTAAATAGAATGGACATTTTAGTGGTGTTCAATCATTTAATGAACTTTGAACTTTCGGTTGATTGTCTAGGTAACAGCACATAAATGCACATGTTTTGATGACGTAATTATTGTAGTGAAGAAAGTAGTTTTTCAAATTTATCCATACACCTAATCGTTTCAAATAATCAAAATGTAATTTAGAAGAACACTTATTCCTGAAGTCAGTAATATATATGTACATTTATTTTATTTATGACATAGACAGACGATATAGGAATACAGTAATTCGTATCCAGCCGTCGTCTTAGAACTACTTTATTCGTGTAGCTAAACTTGTTCATGTGTTAACAGGTCAAATGGCTGTTGTCGTAGAATGAAATTTAGTCAAAATGAGCACATCGGAAGTTGAACCACACATCACAAAGAAATATGAAATCAAGAAAAGATTGGGGAAAGGAGTAAGTTGGACACATGAAATAATAGATAACACGATTTCCCCCCGATTATTGGCTTTCATTCCCAGTTTATTTCAACATATTTTCAGTGAAAAAAAAATCGATGTGTTCAAGCACGAATTACCTACCGGGTCAAATTCAACATTTTTTATTCGATATGTCCATCTGAGCGCAATTATTTGATATGATTCTTAAAATTTATTTAAGAAACCGTTTTCAACTTTATAGGACATGAACTCTTCGCCTTTCTGAAAAGTGAAGTAGATCTTATCCTGTTCCAAAATTGATTTGTCATGCAAATTATTTTATTTTTTAACTATACTGGAGTATGCTATATTCCGTTAATGTCAAACTCCTCGAGAGTACATAGACATGTCTGCACGTCAAAATGTGAAGAGTGTTAAAAAAGTTGTCTAAAATAGAAGAATATTAGCCCGTACGGCTAGCCAAAAGTTCTAGCCGTACGTGAGTCACGTACAGTACTAATAGCCGGGAGGCACTGTATTGTCTAGCTATACAGCACTTTTCAAAATTTTATGGAAGTCGAAAATGCATATGTTATTTTGTGTCTTTAAACGAGGATTTTAATCAAGTCTCTGCATTTGTCCTCGTGTGTACACTTTAATAAAGATGCTCCGCCATTTTGTAAAAAAATGAATACGAACAAGCGTTGTATAATGTATTTTGATAAAAGTGTCTAAGTTGTATGTTTTAAGTTATAACGTCCTTGATTTTCATGCTTATGATTTGTTGTTTTATTTGTATGAAAGATGAATTGTTAAATCATTTTTGATAATTAAGCACATGGATCGAATAAATAATGATCGGAGGGGAATTAATAATTAAATAAATAAATAAATAAGTAAATAAAAAGAATACTGAAAAAAAACGGTGAAAAGCAAAAATAATTTAATAATTTTCAAATACAGTATAGATAATTTTAAATATCGAACATCAAAGCACAATCAATTAAAAGCCTTAATTAAGGCAAACTTTCTTTCATAATGGACAAATTTCTATACCGTCGGTAATTGACGCAATTATCTTCGGCGTTTTTTTTATTATTATTTGAAAATTAAACTAAATGAAACAAAAAAATATCAACGTTTTGTTAACTATTTCAATTGATGTTATTTAACTGCAACCAAACGCTATTTTTCTCGACGTATTGAGATGACAAAAAATACTGTATTCGTATACTTTCTTTACTCTAGCCGACAAGGCGATTAATCTTTTAAAAGTAAACATACGAAGACAATTGCTGTGTCTTGTACAAATCCTGGCTTAAAGTCATAAAAAACATATGCATTTTTGACTACCATATAATTTTGAAAAGTGCCGTACGGCTAGCCAATACAGTGTGTCCTGGCTAGTCGTACGTGACTCACGTACGGCTAGAACTTTTGGCTAGCCGTACGGACCCGTACGGCTAGCCACTTCCTATTATTAAATATAACGGGGCTGAAAAACTATGGTGAGACATGTTTAGTGCACTTGCTATTGCTGCACTGACTGTGACTGACCTGCTCTAGGCGGGTGATTGCATTCAGTCTAGGCAGGACTTTTTTATTGCTATAGCAGGGACCAATAAAGGGCGGCTTCCCCATGAAATATTCTTTAAAATCATGCAGTTTTCCTCAAACATTGAATTTGTATAAAGTTTTTTCTTCCCCTTTTGCATGTAAATTTTATTAAGGATGGCGCTGCTTCCACAACCTGCAAAAAAACTTGCTTGGAAAGAACGAGAATTTATTATATTCTGAAGCTTATAATACAGGGGATGGTCATGGCATGTTGTTCGTGAGAGGGGTGTCACATATTCTTCTATAGGGATAGCATCCTTATCATGGTGAATCTTGTAGGGAAGGGATAACCTAGCATCTATATGTCTGAGTTCCGGTCTTGTGAAGCTAAAGCACATCTGTCACATCTTGATTCATAGGGCTGCTCACCTTTGGACATTTTCAATTTGATCTATTTGTGTTTTGGTGTGGGGAGACCATACTTAGGAACGCATATACAAGCTGGGGTCTGATTGGGATTTAACCTTTAGAATTTTAAGGCTTTATGTTCTGTATTGGAATTCTAAGGTTGGTTTGCTGTCTTTGGTGTCCTTTTTTAAGTTTTTGATAGCCTTGGGCTTGGACTATACATTAAATTCACAGACTGCTAAGGTTTCATTTGCTTTCTAGGATGTCCTGTTTAAGATTCTTCCAATCCTGAAATAAATTACTTGGGCTAATTGAATATATTTTTTACTTAAATTTCAGGCATATGGCATTGTTTGGAAAGCAATTGACAGAAGGACGGGAGAGGTGGTGGCTGTCAAGAAGATATTTGATGCTTTTAGAAATCAGACAGATGCACAAAGAACTTTTAGGGAGATAATGTTCTTACAGGACTTTGGAGATCACCCTAGCATTATAAAGTTACACAATGTTATAAAAGCTGAAAATGATAAGGATATTTACCTTGTGTTTGAATTTATGGGTATGTATTTTGTTAAATTCTATTGTATAATAAGAAAGAAAATATTATAATGGCATTTATGTCAAGAATTTGCATAGGTGGTTCTCCTGATTTTTTCACTTTCCAACTCTTTACATTGTAATGAATCAATAGTTACTGTTAGGATGATGCAGAAAAATAATGTAATAACTCCCCCAACAATGGTCAAATGTAGCAACATATATTCATAAAAGCATAATTTCAAAGAGAAGTACTGATAACTAAGTAATTTGCAAGATTATAACAATAGAAAAGTCCCTTTGAAGATAAAGTACATGCCAAAAAGGGCTTAAAAATATTCTATGACAGTGTGTTTCTTTTGAACATTATCTTGATTTAGCTATTATGTGTTATTCTATGCAGTTAAGGAACCATTTTTATGTGACAGTGTCCCCACTGGAAAAAAAAGTAAAGCATACTTTGATGTGGTCTTTTACTCCCTATATCCTGTTATCCTTGTCTGATAAATTTCTTGCATGATTTTATTCCAGAAACTGATTTACACAATGTTATTAAGAGAGGAAATATATTAAAAGATGTACACAAACGTTACATTATGTATCAGCTGTTTAAAGCAACAAAATATTTACACTCAGGGAATGTCATACACAGAGATCAGAAGGTAAGAAACATTTTCTTTTAAAAGTCTAAAAATAAAAAGTGTGATCTGTATGAAAATTTGCTAGAATTGTAATTAGAAACCTTGACATGAGGACAAACATATACTGGCCAAACAATATTCTTGAAAGATGACAAAGTTATGCATTGTCATTGATTTTTTCCCCTGTATTTTACAGCCGAATAAAGGCTGTTTCCCCTAGCCCTAAATAGGTATAATGCTACTATTTTCCCCCTAAAATGCCCTTTGCAAATTTTTCACTAGAGCCATGACTTAACAGCAGCTGACTTATATCAGCTTAAGACAGAACGCTGTCTCTACAGATAGCCTCTGCTATTTACCATGATTGAAATTGAATATTCTAAAATATGTGTGGGTAAACCATTCTCAGTTGTTAGAATTTGATTTTCCCCTTTTCTGATTTATCGCGCTATAATTTCCCCTTCAGAAAGCCACAGGTTGTTTTGACAATTGAAAAAAAACACTGATTGTACACAACTTTTGCATTCACACAATTAGGAGATAAGGTGATAAGCTTATGAATCGAGTATGATTCTTTTAATAAGAATTCCTTATTATAAGCAGAAATAGTTTATACAATATTGCTTTTATCAAAGTGTGTAGCGACCTTGGAAGGAAACAAAGAATTGGATTTGGAAAAATGTTGATATCAAACCTATGGCTATTCATGTGTTTAGACACTTGTTGCTTTGTTTGACCAACATTCTGCTCTTTACATTTATGACAAGATATATAGACACAATTTCGAATCTGTTCCTGGAAACAAACAGTACTGAGCAGTGAATGTAAAGTTTCTTGCCCAAGGAAATAATGGCTTGCACCTGATGGAGGTTTGAACCAACATAGCTAGAGGTCCATTGGTTACTAGTCAGATGCCCATTGGCAAATTGCTCATGTCACCACATCATGACTGGTTAAATAGAGAACGTATTGAGTATAACCTGTATGCAATTGCTTTGTTATAAGCCTGCTTTCATATACTTGTACATAAATTACATTTATTTTTATTTTTAGCCTTCAAATATCCTGTTAGATAGTGAATGTATGGTAAAAGTATGTGATTTTGGATTGGCCAGATCTCTCTCACAGATAAGTATAGACTCAGAAACAGGGGATCCAAATCTCACAGAATATGTAGCTACACGGTGGTACAGAGCCCCAGAAATATTACTAGCATCTCATAGGTGAGCTATTTTTTAATAGTTAATTGCAAAGAAATTTCGATAAGACTGTGTCTTCCCTGTCTGTGCCAAAGAGAGGTGACTTACATCCCATGTTCATCATATCAAGAACCAAAATAGCGCTAAATAGTTTGAAATATTGATAGACAATATCCTGTATAACATTTAGCTTTTCTGAAAGGAAACATCATTGTGTATATCAGCTCAATTAACTTATGTTAAGTTATTAATATGAAAATCTAAAATAGATAACTAAAATCAAGGCCAGATTGATAGATGGACACGTCCATTAAAGATTTTAAGCATGGTAAGGGTGAACATACAAACAAATTGTTCTTCTACCAATAACTGTCCAATATTGATTAATACTTTTTTAAACATTACAGTAATTTAATATGTTAGTAGTTTTAAATGCTCAGTGTTTGTTTATTTTAAATAATTCCCTAATTAAACCTTGGGAGAGGTTTTTTAACTTCTGTTACAATAAATCAAATGTTGCATAAAATGATTCACTTGCTTGTTTTAAGGTATACAAAAGGAGTAGATATGTGGAGTTTAGGTTGTATATTGGCAGAAATGCTGATTGGTAAACCATTATTTCCTGGTTCATCTACCATTAATCAGATAGAGAAAATAATGGCAACAATAGCTCGACCATCAAAAGAAGGTATGATTTGTCCTAACACCATATGAAAATGTAATGTAAATTCCCAGACCAAAAATAGATTAAATTTTAGCATTATGCTAAGTAATGCAAATGTATTTTGATATTTTATTTTAAGGTATTACCATCCTAATGCATTACCTCTGCTTTGAAGAGTATTCAAATAGGCTAGAACTACTGTTAACTACATTGAAGGGTTCAATCCCCAGAAGGGTCAACTTTTTTTTTCTTTCTTTTTTTCTTTCAACATTATTCATGTATCTCTCATGTCCCATTTTGAAAGAAAATAAGTGTTTAATTTTGATTTTTTAATTTATATAGGTATTTATTGGCTAAATAATGCTAAATCTAGTAATAAATATGGTACCTGATATTTTCAAAGTGTAATAAAATCAAAACTGGACGGTAAAAGTATTTCATATTTTACAAGATCAACCAATATACTTCTTTAAAAATTTAGGAAAACTTTGAAAACAGGTTGTCACCTTTGTCAAAATGCCATCTGCCAGTGAATATCACATCATATTCAATTGCTTTGATGTATCAAATGTAGTACAACATGTGTCTTCAAGGTTTTGTTGTTTTTTTTCTGCAGATATTGCCAGCATTAGATCAGCCTATGGTTCATCAGTTTTAGACAAGGCTGCTACCAGGTGAGAACATACTTTCTAATTTAATAAAATGATAATATCCAGGCATTATTATTATTCATAGTAATTAAAAAGGTCTCATGAGTTTTAGACTTTGTTTGAAAGCAGGATGAAAGAAGATGGTTGATATTTAAATAATAGCTCTATTTTCATAATCAAGTTTTCGCATACACAAAAATGTTATCTGTTGGAATAGTTAGATTTATTACATAAATATTGATATATATGCAAGTGTGCAGTGGAACAAATCAAAGAACAATTGTTTTTTTGTTGTTTTTTTTTCAGTCTAAATATTTTACCGTAAAACGTTTCAGAATTTAACCAGTTTTGTTGATGAAAATAAATTTTAACATTTTACTCCATACATTTACTTTATTTATTTTATATATATGGATATTTTATATAAATTTTCTTGTTATTTATTGATATTAGAAGTAGTTTACAGTATATCATTAACATACATACATCCATATAATATATTTTTGTTATTTCAGACCTAAGAAGTCATTAGAAGACATGATTGAGGATGCTCCAAAAGATGCAATAGATTTATGTAAAAAATTACTGCACTTTAATCCTGATAAAAGAATAACAGCAGACGAGGCATTAAGACACCCATATGTGTCTAGGTTCCATAATCCAAAGGAAGAAATCAGTTTGAATTATGATGTTGTACCACCATTATCGACGATGTCCAGCTGACGGTTGATGAGTACAGAACAAAGTTATATGAGGTATTATATTCATGATTCTGGTTAAATGTATGCTTAAACCAGTTGTTTACTTAATCAGTCGGTCAATAATAGTATTGGTTTTACTTCTTTGTTCATCCTTCTGCAGACAACTTAATGACAACTTATATAGGAGTCAACATGCTTTGACTTGGGAATAGTCCATTCTATGTTGAAGGGCCTTCAATATTGAAGTAAAAATTGAGCTGCCATCATTATAGTCTAGAGTTCGGTCATGCACAGATAATAAAATTTTACAAGTTAAAACCTTTATGGCTAACTATACAAGTCCGCACTGAGAAACACTAATTGCAATTTTTCATTCTCTGGATAGTTTTCCCCTATTTGATATTAATTTATTATGTAGTTCATCATTAAGAGGATTAGTTGGATTTTACCATCATAAGTTTAATATAAATAAAAATTTATATATGTTATTTTAATGATTTTATTTTGTATGTGAATGTAGTAAATTGAAATTGATTTACACATAATTTAAACAAAAGACTCTGTGTAAAACAAAAGAAAATCCTTGTTTTCCTTCAGATGATTATGCAAAAGAAGGCAGACAGGCGAAGGAAACGTCAGGAGATTAGAAGTGCTCAACATATAGCCCAGCAAGCCAGGGAAGCCACACCTCCTGACTATGATGATGAGGAACCGCCCCCTGGAGAACCTCACTCTCACTCTCATTATGCAAGTCAGCAACAGCAGGTTCAGCAGCGGTATGCCCGACAGGATCCGGACACACCTCCCCCCAGAGCTCATCATCAATCCTCATTCTCAGCAAGTCATGGTAAACTAACATATCATAGAATTTAGTCATAACTATGTGCTTATCTGTGATTTAGTTTATCTTTTGGGAAAAACCTCATTTCATAATTTATTAAAGCTGTATGAAACAATAAGAAGCAAGCAGCCTCTATGAAGATTTTGTACAAATAGTATTGCAATGACTAAGTTTTTAATATTCTGTCTATCACATTAACAAGAAATAAAGATATTGACTGCTTTACTCCTTGTAATAAGATGAGTAAAGATATTGTTCCATTTAAAGGACTTCTATAAATACAACATGTTTATACTCCTAAGTAGTGAAATGCACCACAAATGCATATATGAAGTGTTTTTAACAATTGAGTGAGCTTTAATTCAAACTTTTTAAAAACTTTGTTCAGCTTAAGTATATATTTCTTACATTAAACAATTACTAATTGTGTTCTTTGCTCAACAGTTGCATTTGGTAGAACAACCAAAGAGCAGCCACCCCCTTCAGCACCAGTAACCAAACAGAGAACATACATGAGGCCAAAGACTAATGAAAGTTCAGGGGTATGTGTGAATACTTGTATCACTTAACTGCAGCTTGTGATGGAAATTTTTGCTATTGTTTCTTTATATACATTTTAACCTTACTAAACTTTTTTTTACCTTTGATTTACTATAGAATGGCTACTAACCTATAAAATCTTGTAAATGACCTTTCATTGATTCGAAGATTTTTTGAAATTTTTAAAGAATCTTTATAAAAAAAAACCCAAAACAGTAGCAAGGATTTCCAAATGAATCTTGCAAAAGTAGTTTATTTATCACTGTAAAAATCATTTGATTTTTGAAAAAATAATAGATTGATAGCCAAATAAATCTTCAGGCTGTTTTTCCACATATTTACATGTACCACGGTCATTTACTTGAATTTTTATTTTAGTGCACGCTTACTATACATATATTCAGCAAAGTCATTATACTGACTTGCTTTAAATTCCTTACCACTACCACAAGGTCCATCTACATTTGTTTAATATTCTTTCTCTTACACTTTAAACTTACGCCCTAAATGTGCTTTTAACTTTCTCAGAAATGCATGCAAAGTGCTTTAATTGTAAATATTTAATATACTACATATTTAAATTCTGGCTGGAATGAATGATGAAATTGACATTTAGATATCACTTTAATATGAGACTGTTTAATGTAGTAAAATAGTAAAGCAGTCAAAATCTATTATTTGAGTTTTAAATTAATTTTTGTCACTGAATCTCCTTTTATAAGAAATTGTGCTAACTCCATAGATGTCCTAAATTTTGTGTTGGTTTTTAAAACTTCCTTGTACAGATTACATGTTCTGTGCTTGATACTTTCTGATTCTATTGTTATTATGTAATTATGTAAGATCTTGGTTATTGTTTCTGAAAAAAACATTGAAAAATGTTAATCATAAACATAAATATAATATCTGTCAAACAGAGAGTGTCTACTTTACTGAACAGAGAAAGAATTTCCTATCTCCTTAAGACTAGTCCCAACATTTTGTCATATAACAACATGCTAAAGGTGAGTTAGGTCAAGGGATTTTCTACACTTTGAAAACTTTTTTTCTGCATAACATTCACCCCTTTTGGGACCATTTTATACCTTTGAAATTTATTTATTTGCAGTAACTTGCAATATTTTGAGCTAAGAATATGAATACAGGGAAATTAAAATTAAATGAAGAAAAAGTATCCCCATATCTTTGAAATGTCATAGGCTTATGTAACAAGATTGTGATCATTCTATAAAATAAGAGTTTTTTACTTGAACTTAAGTATGGGTCAAAATTATATCTTTTTTATTTTAAATTACTAATTGTTGATAAAAGCAGAAAATCCTGATGGCTTATTGTTACTTTGCTGTCTGTAGCTTAGAAAAGAAGGTAGCTTACAGTTAATATGCTAATATATGCTACTGTACATTGACACTGCTTTATATATCCCAAGCTTTAGTTTGGCTAGAGCTTTGTGATCTTGATAATTTATAACTACAATTAATACATCAAACTGGTATACTATTATATTACTTAGATTTTGAACCCTAACATCTATCTAACTTTACTATTTATTTAAATTGCCTAAGTTTAATCTTAATGTTAGCTCAGGAACTTTTGTTTATTTATGAATAATTCCTTTTCCAGTTAAGAAAGCCTGAATCATTGAAATAAACAGCTAAATTTTGTGTTATTAAATGTATACATTAGATATCAGTGTATACCTTATGTTTGAATTAAAATCCATTGCACTGTCTTTTAAGTTGAATTTTGTTTATCTTTCATTAGACTCATTATTGTATTCAAGATTAAATTGACTAAACATTGATACCTTGTTTTTTACCAACTAGATCTGTACTGTAGTTTAGCACTAACCAGAAAAGCATTTGCAGTGGCAAAGTCATATTTTGTCAAGCTTTTTTTAAATACGCATTAATGAATGTTTATAATCATATTTAAACTATTATATTTAAGCTCAGAAAGATAAATTAAAGAGAATAGATGAACTAAATGTATTTGAACTGCCACAACTTAAAGTTCTTAAAAATGTGTTAGTCAACAAGCTTTTCAAGATGTTAAGGATAAAGTCATTTCCATTTTCAAATGGGATCTGTCTATATTTTTGCAATTTTTGTAATGATATCTGAGGTTGTAGGTATTCACAATTCTACTGTTGTTTTTTTTTATTTGCAGGATATGTATCCCCCAGGGTCAAGAGGTCGACAAGCTTCTGCCCCAGCTGGTACAAGAGGACCAGGGCGTCCAATATCTGGTGCATACGGACAACAAAACAATCCAATAATCACAAGAGATGAGAAGAGTGGCGGTCTTATGGTGAATAGTACAAGAATGGTAAGTCTGATTTCTTGTAATTTAAGGTAAAAACAAATTGTTAATGGCATTGCAGTCATTTAATTAAACTTTGATATGCCTTTAAAAAATGTTTGGTTAAAATCAATATGATCTGTTTTTCAGTTAAATTAGAGCAAAAAATCAACATATTCCTGAATGGTTTAATAGTTAATCTTAAACTTGTTTTTCTAACAGATCAAAGAAAAATTCAGTAGAAAAGTTCTATTATAATTCAAATCGCTTCCTTTCATGAACTTTGTAGCATTGAATATCAATTTCTTTTTGTCAGTGTTTTTACTCAATTTTTTTAGTCATTTTTTTTTCTCTCAGTGTTTAAACTGCTCTTTTCATTAGCTGAATTTTTAAAATTGAATCAATATACTTAAAAGTCTGCCATGAAAGCAAGTTATATCCTTATCATAAAAACACAGCTATATGTTGCTTCTTCTTTTGTTATATATGAAAGGTTTATGCTGAAATGTTTCTGCTTTACATAATTCATTATTGCCAAACATTTTTTAAAGTGTTATTTACAGCTTCATGTGTACATAAAGAGCATATCATGTTTCATGCTTCATGTAACAGTATTGAAATTACAAAAACAAGATGATAATATTATGTGTTGAATATATCATATTATATGTCCCTGTGATGTAACAGTAATCTGTTTCTTTGGTTGCACTTTCTGGATTGTAATGATAAAATAGCAAATATATGTGTTTTGTATGTTGTTGAAAAAGAAGGTAAAAATGAAATATCTGCTACTGAAATATAAATATGGGTGTAACAAAAGACAAACAATTATCTTTGTTGTAGTAATGGTAATAACTAGTATAAAATAGTTGTATGATATGTGTCCATACGTTTTGTTTGATTGATTTGCATGTGGCATGTTTTGGAACACATTTTAATGTGTAATTTTTAATCGTCAGAGTATAGTGAATACAGTCATTGTAATGCCAGACCGTAAATTTTGAATTATGTAAATAATACTGATATACACTTTGAAACCACCATTGTTTCATAAACTTTTTTCTTCTACACTAACTTGAAATAAATTATTTATTCAGTGCTATTGCAACATTGAGCATCAAAGTTCTATTTCTCGTAGAAATTTTGACAAAATAAGAAACATCACAAAAAATAGCATGCAAGATTGAAAAAAGAAAAATATTCATCTAACAGTGTTAGTTAAAAGTGTGTATCACTATATATCTCTATTGCAATAAAGGTAGAGCTGTAATTTAAAAAATTCGGATATTAAAGTTTTTAAATTTATACTGAAAGATTTAAGTGCATTCTTGTATGCATAATACATTAATTTTCTTAACTACTTTAACTGGAGAAAAGTTTGAATACCAATATAACTTAGTAACCCTGCTTTCCGTCTTCTAGGATTAATAGATCATTTTCTTTGGGCTCTTTTCGGCTATTTTCTGTTGTTTTTTCTCTTGGTCATCAATGTGACTAACCATGCTTGTGGTGTGACTTGATTTAATTTTTAATTCCGAACAGAAAGAAAACCCACCCGGGAATTCCTTTATTTTGAAAAGAATAGTTGCTAGTAAAATTTTTTGTAGTTTTTTTATTAAAATGCTTAAAAATTTACTTTTTTTAATTTTTTAAACTTTTAAAAATTTTTAAATTTTTAAAAACTTTGCTGATTTTGTAAAATCATTTTTTTTTCCCTTTTTTTTAGGTTTCCCTTGGCAAAAACTTTTAACCCTTTTGGTTTTTTTGTCCCAAATTTCCCCGGGGAAATAGCCAAAAAAGGTCCTGTTTTGCCCAAATAAGCACTGTTGAAATAAAACAAATACGTCTAAAATGTTTTTTTCCCATGTTTAAAACTGAATGTTGAAATAATTAACAAAATTTTTATTAAATGTTAAAACCTTTTAGATAAAATCATGGCTGGGGGGCCCTTAAATCCCGGGGAGCCCTCTCCCCCCAATCGGCCCCTTTTTTAATGTAAGTTTTAAATTTAAACCAAAACTTTGGTGAAAATAAATTTTCCCTTCTTTCACTATTGCTTTTTTAAACCTTTTTTTGATAGTAAAAAGATGAAAACAAAAAGTTATTTTTATTTACTGTAAAATCTTGTTGTGGAAAAAATAAAATTTTATTGTCCCAATGTTTAAGAATGTTTAATTTAATAATTTTGCGTTTTTAAGAAAACGGAAATGTCTAAAAAACCCAGGAAATATCTAAAAAACGGGAAAAAGTCTAAAACATATTTTTCCCAAAATATAGGCTTTTAATGGCTATAAAGAAAGGCAAAATATGAAAAAAGAATAAGTTACTATTAGTATTTACTTGAGGGAAAAGTTTAAAGTTTTAAATCATTTAAAAGATTAGTTTATTTTTTTCTTAAATTTATTGTTTCCAAATTAAAAACCAAAAACAAATTTTGGTGATGAATTTAACTAAACTTTGATCAACATAAATAAATTTAAAAATTTTGGGGAAAATTTGATTTTCTATATCTAAAGTCAATTTTAAAATTTACCCCAGTCAATATACCCTAAAGGGGGGTCAACCTAGAACTAATTGCCATTTTTAAAATTTTGGGTTTTTTCTAAAACTAGTATGTATGTACATTTATCCATAAAAAGTCCCGAACGTTTGCTGTTTGCCATTGCTTAGAAAATAATGCCTTTATTACATGATACCTTGGATTTCATGAAAAAATATACAGAATCAGGAAGTCAGTTTACATATCAATATTTATTGTAAAATTTTATCAAATATATCATTACAATATCAAAAAACGTAATTAAAAATTATAGTGTCAAATGACAATCAATAAAAATGCAGTAAGCATACGATTACCTACTTTTTTTTACTAAAACTGCATAAAAATATTTACCCCACCCACTAATGCATTTTAAAAAAGTATAACTTATATATTACAGGAATGTTTCCTGATAACATCATTAATGTTAATACGATTTCAACTGTCCATTTCATCAACAAAACGCATCAAGTCAACTTTAAGGTTTTCAAAGGAACGTTTATAACACACGAAAAAATGCAATTATAACGTAAGAGCCTCATGAGCTACTGCTATCATACCAACGTCTGTTTCGAGTTACTGACATACTCATGGTATTGTTGCAGAATAGTTTTTCTTTGATTGGTTGATTTTAAGGCGCTACAAACGCTAATTTGGTCACATGGCCAGAACTATGAAAGATGACTTGACTCACCGCGGGTATACAAACTAAAAAAACACCAGGTGTCAAAGGCACCACACCTGCTTGAGCTTAGCGATGTGCTTAGACTCAAGAAATTCAAACTAATTTAGTCCTCTTTTACAATCACGAAGTGATAATTAAACATTGGCTGAATTTCTTGAAGTTATTAATAAATTAATTGAAAAATAATTATATTTTGTTTGTGTAGAAGCTTACCTAGTGGAATGGATTTGACCACAGACACTTTCGTGTTGCATTATTTCATGCCAGCTGAGCTTTAAAACAATCTAAGCTGAATAGCCGACTCACATAAAAAGAAATATGGCCCCTTTATAATGGCTCAATTTCAAAACCTATATTGGGTAAGAGGGTTTTGTGGTGTAAAGCCAACGGACCTTATCGCCCCACCCAGCAATATAAATGATAAATCAGTAAAGAGACCAGTTTAATGTTATTAATTTAAGATGTTCGAAAGGTAATACCCCTTTAATTGAGCGGTTGTTTGCATATACATTGTAAAACCAAAGCTGCTAGGCCGTTCATTGAACCCCGCCTTTTCCTGTTGATCTTGTTTTTACCATATTTTGTTCCTTGCTATACTAACAAACTTGCCAAAGTTCTATACATATAACAATTGATTAATACTTTGCTCAACAATCTCAAAAAAATTTACACTTATAATAAAAACAAGTATATTCATTGGTCAATTCAAAAAGAAAAAATAACTTTATTTTTCCCCATTTACAATTATTTAAAAAATGCAAATAAAGATTATTATACATGTAACGTACATTTGATTTCATATAAAAGTACCAGTTTAAATTTTACACATGTCATTATTCCCTTTTATTGACTTGAGTAACAAATGGCAATGCACAGACACTCTAACTTTATTTTCAAAAATTAATGTAAGTCAAAGTTGAATTCACCAGAACACGCTGAGTCACCGCCGCCATTACCTGTGCAGGATGCAAACCAGTTGACCAGTACTAAATGCCCTTACTTTCCTCTTTATATGCCAGAGCAGTGGCACCAAAGCAAATGACCGCTAGATTTCATGATTCAATCCTGTATCATTGTTTGGAATCGCCCGGTTCATTAGCCCCAACTGCCCAATTGACTGAAAATTTAAGTTTCGGAAAATCCTTACCTTCTTATGTTGTACAACATGTTAGATCTAATTCCAGTCACTCTTTTTCGACTTTTAGCCTATTTGGATTTTATTAATAAGGCTTATTTTAGCAAATCTTACAGGACAATTTTTTTATGTCGGTCCGTGAATTTGGATTTTTGACTTAGAAAAAAAATTGAAGTAGATTATTTAGAAATATAATTGCTGCGAAAAATTATATTCTAGACTATCAATTTCGGTATCAAAAACGTTTTTAAATCTAGTTATTGCCCATTTATCTTAAAATTGTCACAAGGCATCGTCATATTTGTCAAAATGTAATGTCTTGAAATCATGTTAAATTGATATTACACGTGTCTGGTTTCCAACGGCTTGAAAATAGAAGTGCTTCCATTTTCGTGAACGCGAAAGCGGCCACTAGATTGGCTGATTAAAAGGTTACATGACCGTGACCTTCTTTTGTCGATCATCGTCAGATCTTTTTTTTTATACAAATACAACATAAGAAGAAACTCAATTTGATGGAAACTCAGTAGGTTTGAGGGGTTTGGAATGTGAATGGGGACCTGGGTTTTATTCCAGGGCTGAGGGAGGGCACCTTTTTATTAAATTTATCTATTTTTTCGCAAATGTACCCTTTTGGGGGCACATTTGGGACAGTTTTATTTCAAAAA